GTTATATACTTACATTTGATTGCTATGTTAGAACAAAGTGTAAAAATGATGCCACAAAAAGTACACAGAACTAAGTTTCGTGAGGAAAGAAATATTTAAAGGAAAACCTTTTTTGTAATTGCCCTGTTTTTGCTTTGTGTTAACTTCTACGAACAGCCTTATGAAATGTGATTCTATTTTGGCATCATGATTTTCATAACAGTAAAGAGCAGTTTCTAGCAAGTTATAGAATTTCAACATATCAACAGTAAACTACTAAAGCACTTTTGAAGTTCAGACAACAGACATATTATCTATACTTGATGTCTAATAAAAACTCTCATTCTGAAAAGAACAGTAAATATTTCAGTCGCTTTTATCTCAACCTCAAATATCTGCCTTTGAAGTCTTAGGTTTCCTCCAAAAACAGAAATCTGGGAAGTCATCCTGGCCCCTGACCTCTTCTCTAAGCATACTACATTGGTACGTAAGGCACTGGACCCGAGATTGCCATCACTCATTCTCTACCTGTATGTAGGAACAAATACTTCTAAAATTCATCACTGGACAAGTCAGTCAAGACAAAACTGTCTTCTGCAGGACATCAAGCAATTGCTTACTCTTCTTTAATTGAAACCAAGAGGAGCTTGGTGAAAGAACATGAAGCTGAGGCTGACAGCAACACTTGCAGATTTTTTAAACAATCAAGGTAATTTTTTGGCATCTATATTTTCAGTAATTTTTTTTTCTTTTCTTTTCTTTTTAATAGAAAAACACCACATTAATTCAGTAAGCTTTAGAATAGGAAACTTCACCTTATTTTCGTGTTGCAAACAATTGACATTTCCTCTGTGAGATGGAGAAATCATTCTGCAAGGAGGAAAGGCTTCTGCAATACACTGCAGTATCTTAAGTAAACTTTTATATTCAAGTAGTGACCCAAAAAATGAGGATCCTGCACTGGGCCCACCAACATTACATTAATGCTTTTTAGTCAATATTAATGCACATTTTCAATGAATAAGAATTTAAGATAGAATATCTGTTTATTTTTCACGTGTACCTTTCCAGCTCATAAATTTGATGATTTACTGAACAAATACTTATAAAGCACTTCTTTATATCAGACATCATTCTAAATGTGAATAGTGATAAAGTGTCTACAGTTGATCTAAGAAATACAAATTCTGTAATAAAATTTTATTAAGAAACAACGGGTGAGAACTGAGGCATTTAATACTATTAGAAAATGTAATGTAAATCCATGTATTTGGAACATGATTTCCAAATATAAATTCCAGTATTTTAGGCAAAATAAATAGTTTTAGCACCTTTTCCTTTGTCATAAAGAGTGCAAAAAATAAGCAAAGTCATATCAGAATATAAAAAGTTGTCACAAGGGCTAAGGAGTGGTACTCAGAGACATAAGCCAGACAAATACTCACGGAGGTGTTATAATTTTTTTTTTTTTTTTTTTTGAGACAGAGTCTCACTTTTGCCACGGCTATGCAGTGGATGCCTGGCGTCAAGCCTAGCTCACAGCAACCTCAGACTCCTGGGCTCAACCGATCCTCAGCTCCAGCTCCCAAGTACTGGGATACGGCAAGTAGCGCACCATGCGGCTATTTTTTCTATATACTACCCCAACTTCTTGCCAACCTTAGGTTTCCTTTCTATTTAGTATCAGAGACGCGGTCTCGCCTCTGCTCAGGCTGGTTTTGAACTCCCGACCTCGAGCAATCCGCCCGCCTCGGCCTCCCAGAGAGCTAGGATTACAGGCGTGAGCCACCGCGCCCGGCCATGTTATTAAATTTATATTGCCAATTTAGGGTCCACTCGATGTCAGTGATATATGTATCTGTGAACAAAATACTCTTATTTCATTGGCTTATTAAAAGAGCCAATTCTGGCCAGGCATGGTGGCTCACGCCTGTAATCCTGGCACTCTGGGAGGCCGAGGTGGGCGCATAGTTTGAGCTCAGGAGATTGAGACCAGCCTGAGCAAGAGCGAGACTGTTTCCACTAAAAAAAAAAAAAAAAATAGAAATTAGCTGGACAACTAAAAAATATATATACATAAAAAGAAAATTAGCTGGGGATGTTGGCACACGCCTGTAGTCCCAGCTACTCAGGAGGCTGAGGCAGGAGAATCGCTTGAGCCCAGGAGTTTGAGGTTGCTGTGAGCCAGGCTGACACCACGGCCCAGTTTTTTTTGAGACTCTGTCTCAAAAAAAAAAAAAAGGTGGTTTTCTTCTCCGAGCTGTTACGTAAGTGTTTTAGGGTCGGCGGGTTATGTATTTTAACGACAGAAATTCCTTTGTAATTCCAGTAGGTGGAAACTTTCCATAAATTCCAGAGTCAGTGTCTGTCGGTTGATGCGTTCCGCCTGTGACTCAGTGAAAAATGAAAACCACAGCGTCGAGTAGCCCACTCTGCAAGGTGCTGTGTGCACTTCTCTTGTGTGTCGTAATATCGCCTCACCGCGAGGCAGAGACGGCACGCCCCCATCTCGTAGGTGCGGAAAGATGCGGTACAGAATGAAAAACTGCTAGTCATTCCAATCACATTGCAATGCAGCCGCAGAACTGCTTTATATTCTATCTCGTTACTGTTGCAAAAGGGTCCAACTTGGGTGGTAAGGTTGTCTTTTCTTTGGAATAGGCCTTAGAGAAGCACTGTTTTTGGAGGAAAAATGCTGAGCTGAGAAAAGAAGAGCCAGGAGATAAGAATATTCTGGTTGTGATTATGGGCTGTGATCTGGCTGCTGGATCAAATGAGGTATAAAATCAGAAATAAGGCCGGAGGCAGTGGGTGGTATCCGTCCTCCCAGCTACCTGACAGGGCTGAGGTGAGAGGATCACTTTGAGCCCAGGAATTGATCCAGCCTGGGGCAAAATAGGGGAGGACCCTTGGCCCCACTCTTCTACCCCCATCTTGTAAAAAAATTGTTAAAAAAATTCAGGCCGGGGCTTTCGCCTGTAATCCTAGTACTCTGGGAGCCAGGCGGGGCGGATTGCTCGAGGTCAGGAGTTCGAAACCACCCCTGTTTTCCGTGAGCGGAGACCCCATCTCTACTTAAGTACATTACAAGAATAAAAATGTTTATTATCAAATGATTTCATCATTTGGTTGTAAATGTTAGGACTAATTTTTTTTTTTTTTTTTTTGAGACAGGGTCTGTTCTGTCACCCAGGCTAGAGAGCAGTGGCATCATCATAGCTCCCAGCAACCTCAAACTCCTGGTCTCAAGCAATCCTCCCACCTCAGCCTCCCAAAGTGCTGGGATTACACATATGAGCCACTGCATCTGGCCCTGGACTAAATTTTAATGCCTACTAACTAGAATTCAATGCTTAACATCTGTCTTACCTTGACCACAAAGGGCCAATTCCTAAAATTTAGGTCTGAATCAAAAATTCAAAATCAAGAAAAATCAAAAGGTATGCACAAAAAGGCCAACTCCAAACAGTATGCCAAAAAACCAAGTTGCTAAGTTATAAGGAAGCTGCTGTTCATCTGGACCTCAGCCCAGAATACAAAAATTTGGAGGAGAAACACTGGTGGTTTAAAGGGAACACGGGTTCCAAATTTGCTGCCTCATTCTTTTATCTGCAGAAGCTTCCTCTGATACTGCCTGTTTCTACTAAAATGACCATAACCACACTGGAAAATTCAGCGGGGCTCCAAAGCTCTTAGACAGGTGGAAATCCACTGTTAGAAAACATGTGGAGAATATATTGAAGGCAATTCAGAAATTGTATGTTCTTTAGAACAATCAACCCAAGATTCTGGCAAAGGGGACAATGAAGCATTTTAAAACCTCTCAAAATCCTTTAACATAACTAAAATAGAGCAAAATGATCTATACTCTCCCGAGTTTATGGCCCTTCCTTTGACAAAACGTTTTTTTTTTTCCTTCGACGACTCAGTTCCTTTAATAACCACCACCTGTCCATGGTGCATTTTTTCCCCTCAAGAAGGCATCTGCACTGCAGATCTCTGCATAAGGAGAGCTTGCCAGCCAGCTCCCACCAACAGGCAGACGCACATACAATGGAAACTAAAGGAGGCCTGCAGCTTCCCTCCTAGTCTTTCAGAGATGGGAGAAGGGGGTTCAACCAGCCCCTGCTTTGTCTGAATTTTCTCCCCCTCCCCCTTTCTGCAGTAAACAACTCCTTTTGTTACACTTCCGTCAACAACGGCCCACAGAAAACATGAAATCAAAACATGTTGATGGCTTGGCATGACTCTATTTATTATCTTCTAGAATATAAGCGACTGATTCCAGGTCCCCACCCCCACGCAGCGCCAGTGAAGAGCAGGCTGTGTTGCAGATACAGCCACGGATCCATCTTGGACCATCAGCTCCCTCCCAAATCTTCCCAGAGCTATTCTCATCACGCCTCCTTCCACCTCAGAGCCTAAGGAAAATCGGGCATTCATAGAGTCTAGACGAAAACAGTAAAGAAAAGGGCTACACTGCTTCCATTAAACTTCCTCATGCTCCCCGTGGACAACCCCCCCAAAAAATTTTTTGAGGACTAATCCAAGTGTTTGATTATGTCAACACCTGCTTGCAAACCTGCCATGCAACCCTTTCCCCCCCATCCCCTCAAAATCGTAATGAATCATTTCTCCCACGACCCACCTGCCCTAATGCTCTCAAACCTCTCTAATCCTCCACTAAATCACCCCGGTTCAGAGGGCTTTCGCCTCCCCGAACACGGTTCGGCATATGGACGGATCAATTCTCCATTTTAGCCCACCCTCCCGCAAGCTGGTGTTTTTCCCCACCTGCCCCGTCTCGGCGCCAACACCCACTCTCCAGACGGCCTCCCCGCCCCCAACCTGTTTTCCCCACACCCCGTTATTTCCCCGCCGCCGGCACGACCTTATGCTCCCCTCCCCCTTTGCCCAATTTCCAAACGCTCGTCCCCCGGGGCGAAGTCGTCAGTAGTCGAGGCTAATTCGCCCTCCCCCCACGCCCTAACCCCGCAGTCCCGGGCCCCCGCGCGCCTCACCCGCACAGGAGGAGCCGCAGCTCTTCGCCCCCAGGGCGGGGCAGGCTCCCGGGCTCCCGCCGCCGCCGGGCGCGGACGGCTCGGCCCCGGAGGACGACGAGGAGATGGACGGGGACTGAGTGGCCGCCGACGGCTCCGCCATGGCTATGCGAGCGAGGGCCGGAGAAGGGTGAAGAGAGACGTGGGGCGGGAGAGAGGGAGGGGAAACAGAATAATAGGGCAGCTGGCTCTTCGAAGTCCCTTCTCTCCGCCTGCTCCGAAGACAGACTCCGACAGACTGACTGACTCAGCCGAGCACGGCGACAGGGCGGGAGCGCGAGCGCGCACGCGCACAGACGCGGCTCGCGCGGGTGCCGAAGCGCGCAGAAGCGCAGGGCGCAGGCGCAAGAACTGTCTCTCCGCGCTCCTGCGGGGAAGGAGGGGCGAAACTGGCCTCCCGCCGCGCCCCGCGCGCCGCCGCGGTGGGGCGCGCCCCTCGGGGACCAGCCGCAGGGGGCGTGACTCAGCGCCAGGCTCCGCCCACTGCGGCCGCCGCCAGGGACTGCGGGGTGGTTTTCTCTCCGAGCTGTTTACGTAAGTGTTTTAGGGTCGGCGGGTTATGTATTTTAACGACAGAAATTCCTTTGTAATTCCAGTAGGTGGAAACTTTCCCATAAATTCCAGAGTCAGTGTCTGTCGGTTGATGCGTTCCCGCCTGTGACTCCAGTGAAAAATGAAAACCACAGCGTCGAGTAGGCCCACTCTGCAAGGTGCTGTGTGCACTTCTCTGGATGTGTCGTAATATCGCCTCACCGCGAGGCAGAGACGGCACGGCCCCCCATCTCGTAGGTGCGGAAAGATGCGGTACAGAATGAAAAACTGCTAGTCATTCCAATCACATTGCAATGCAGCCGCAGAACCTGCTTTATATTCTTATCTCGTTACTGTTGCAAAAGGGTCCAACCTTGGGTGGTAAGGTTGTCTTTTCTTTGGAATAGGCTCTTAGAGAAGCACTGTTTTGGAGGAAAAATGCTGAGCTGATGAAGAAAGAAGAGCCAGGAGATAAGAATATTCTGGTTGTGATTATGGGCTGTGATCTGGCTGTGATCAAATGAGGTATTAAAAATTCAGAATAAGGCCGGAGGCAGTGGTGGTATCCGTCCTCCCAGCTACCTGACAGGCTGAGGTGAGAGGATCACTTTGAGCCCAGGAATTGAATCCAGCCTGGGCAAAATAGGGGAGACCCTTGGCCCCCACTCTTCTACCCCCATCTGTAAAAAAAATGTTAAAAAAATTCAGGCCGGGCTTTCGCCTGTAATCCTAGTACTCTGGGAGGCCAGGCGGGCGGATTGCTCGAGGTCAGGAGTTCGAAACCACCCTGAGCGAGACCCCATCTCTACTAAAAAATAGAAAGAAATTAATTGACCAACTAAAAATATATATACAAAAAAATTAGCCGGGCATGGTGGCGCATGCCTGTAGTCCCAGCTACTTGGGAGGCTGAGGCAGGAGGATCACTTGAGCCCAGGAGTTTGAGGTTGCTGTGAGCTAGGCTGACGCCACGGCACTCACTCTAGCCTGGGCAACAAAGTGAGACTCTGTCTCAAAAAAAAAAAAAAAAAAAAAAAAAATTCAGAATACAGCACAAAATACACATAATTGAATTTTATTGATGGCCTAAAAGGGGTTCTTAGCAGAATATGTATTTGAAACCAGACATCTAGCTTACATTGGATTTTATTCATTTTTTTGTCTCTCTTGTGTTGGCTTGCCAAATTCAAAGCCTCATCCTTATGTCGGGTCAAAATATTTGAAAGGTGCATAATTTTTTTGAAAAGGGGTGGTGTGTCCTGAAATAATAAAAATCAAGGCTGTAGGCTTTGTTATTGCTAAAGCAGCAATCGATGACCCAAAGTGCAATTGCAGGATCAGCAGATCCTGTAAAGATGCAACCTCATGAAGGGGGAGGTGGTCAGCCAGACCGCCACAGAGTGGAAAAGTGATCTGAGCAGTGGAAATCTAGAGCAGGCTGCCCTTGACGGTTTTTAAGGTCAGGTAAAGCCCAGATCGGGGGCAGGGGGAACTTCTGGCCGTTGCAACACTCTGAAAAAGACACACAGGGATATTTCCCAAAATAAATTTGTGGCAAATATCTTACCCCGGCACTTTACAGCATCAGCTGATACTGCAGCACACTGTCCCTTCGAAGGCAAAGGGAAATAACAGCTGATCCGATAACCAAGCCAGTTATCTACCCATTCTCATAAATGCATGTATTGTTAAAATATCTATATTATTAGGTGCTGAATAAGGAAATAAATGATGCAAGTACCCAACTCTCACAGCACTTGCTAGAATCTGGAGACCCCAGCTGGAAAGGAGGCCCATTTCCCTAATATCTAGAAGCAGAGAAAAGAAGTTAAAAATCAAGACATTCATGTATTCTTGGTGGTTTCTTCAGACCCTTCAAAGATTTTTTTTACATAAGAAGCCTTTGTGTGAGGTCTAATTTCTGAAGCTGTCTTTCCTTTCTGCTTTCTCTTTGCTTGCTGTACCAGTGAACATCTCTGCCTGGGATGTTTGCTTATTTGTATATAAGATTTATTCCATGAATGTTTACTGATCATCTGTGCATATGACATAATCCCTGGGAGGGACCAAAAAAATAAGTCTGTTTGACTTCAGTGAGTTTACAAACTAGTTGGGGCATAGAACATACTCACATAAAGTTAAATAATACAAATTAAATAGCAACCCAGGCCGGGCGCTGTGGCTCACGCCTGTAATCCTAGCACTCTGGGAGGCCGAGGCGGGTGGATTGCTCAAGGTCAAGAGTTCGAAACCAGCCTGAGCAAGAGCGAGACCTCGTCTCTACTATAAACAGAAAGAAATTAATTGGCCAACTAATATATATAGAAAAAATTAGCCGGGCATGGTGGCACATGCCTGTAGTCCCAGCTACTCGGGAGGCTGAGGCAGCAGGATTGCTCGAGTCCAGGAGTTTGAGGTTGCTGTGAGCTAGGCTGACGCCATGGCACTCATTCTAGCCTGGGTAACAAAGTGAGACTCTGCCTCAAAAACAAACAAACAAACAAAAAAAACACATAGGCCGGGCGCTGTGGCTCACGCCTGTAATCCTAGCTCTTGGGAGGCCGAGGCGGGCGGATTGCTCAAGGTCAGGAGTTCAAAACCAGCCTGAGCAAGAGCGAGACCCCGTCTCTACTATAAATAGAAAGAAATTAATTGGCCAACTGATATATATATAAAAAATTAGCCGGGCATGGTGGCGCATGCCTGTAGTCCCAGCTACCTGGGAGGCTGAGGCAGAAGGATCACTCGAGCCCAGGAGTTTGAGGTTGCTGTGAGCTAGGCTGACGCCACAGCACTCACTCTAGCCTGGGCAACAAAGCGAGACTCTGTCTCAAAAAAAAAAAAAAAAACAAAAAAAAACATATACAGAAAGGTACCCTTGTGGGCAGATGAATCCTAAAAAAACAACCTCTTCTTCCCAGCCTAGTCCATGATGCAGTTCCAGCTGACTTGTCTAGTAGAATGTGGCCTAGATTTGATTCCTTCTTGCACCTTCCCTCCACAGGCTGCCTTGGTCAACATACACTGCACAGCTATATATGGTGGCTGAAGGCCCAGAAGTGTGACTGTATGTTAGGTATCTTGGGTGTTGGTTACACCAAGTTGGCTTAGCTGAGGGCTTGAACTGGGACAAGAGGGAAGATATGTTGGGACCAGAGTGTGGAGAAGCAGTAGTATTGCACTAAGAAACCGAGGTTTTGTCTTAAGAATAATGGGGATTCAGTGAAAGTGTCTAGGCAGGGAATGTCTCAGATGAGATTTTTTAAGCGCTCACTCTGGAGTGTAGCTATTTCCCAGGAGTTCCATCGAACAACTTCTGCTGCTGAGGCACTGCACTAGGTCACTTTTTCCTGTTTTATAGGACTGGTATTTACATAGATAATTTTCCACCTCCGCTTCTTTTTTTTTTTTTTTTTCAGAGATGGAGTCTGGCTCTGTCACCCAGGCTTGATCATAGTGCACTGTAACCTCAAATACCTGGGCTCCAGTGATCCTCCTGCCTCAGCCTCCTGAGTAGCTGGGATTGCAGGCGAGTGCCACCACGGCTAACAACCTCAACTTCTAACCCATCTCAGTACCCTTTTTTTCCTTGACTTTTAGAAAAATATTACATTGTAATTTGAAAATTTTGAATACATTCACAGGTCATTCATATGTGTGTGTGTATACTTATATTCTTTTTTTTATTTCGGCATATTATGGGGGTACAAATTTTAAGGTTTCAAAAAGTGCCCCTCCCCCCCACCCCCCACAAGTCTCATATTTAAAAGTATATATACTGTAAAGTTTCCTTTTATCACCAACTCCCTCTACCCTTCCACACACACATAGGATCTTGTGGCAAACACAAACAAAAGTGAATATAGCAAGTCTGTATCCTCATCCATCTTTTTTTTTTTTTAACACAAATGATATTATGCTATACATAGCTATGCAGATTGCTTCTTTTCCTTCTAGTGATCTTTTTTAGTATATTTTTTGAAATGTTAGACAGCTGTGCTCTTGGCTAAAATACCAATAATGAAGCAGCTGACACAGTCTTAAGCTTTTACCGTTACCATGTTCAGGGGCTAATACTCAACTGTGTAACACCTTATGATGTGGGGTTGACTATTTTCTTTTCATAAACGAAGACACCAGGCTGGGCGTGGTGGCTCACACCTGTAATCCTAGCACTCTGGGAGGCTAAGGCAGGAGGATCCCTTGAGCTTAGGAGTTCCAGACCAGCCTGGGCAAGAGTGAGACTCCGTCTCTACTAAAAGTAGAAAAAATTAGCTGGGTGTGGTGGTGTGCTCCTGTAGTCCCAGCTACTCAAGAGGCTGAGCCAGGAGGATCTCTTGAGCCCAGGAGTTTGAGGTTGCTGTGAGCTAGGCTGACACTACAGCACTCTAGCCTGGGTAACAGAGTGAGACTCTGTCTAAAATAAATAAATAAATAAATAACAATAAAAAAAGAAAGAAGACACCAAATCATTACCCCATTTTACAGACAAGCAAGTAAAGTACAGACATTTAAATGATGCCCAGGGATACAGTATTCCAACTTGTCCCTTCCAAGTTACTTAAACACCAATCCTATACATAGAGGATAAAAGGCTGAAGTGTGTCCCAGTATAGTCACAGTGAGTAATATTTACTTGGCTATTTATCCCATAAGACTCTGAGTCTCTGAAGGACAGGAATGTGTCTTATGCAGCATTACTGCCTATCATAGTACCTGGCACATAACAAATGCCCTATTTTTGGAAAGCTTTTGAACCTGAGTCACAGTGGATGTCATTGCAGAAAACAATTTTGCTGTTTTTGTGCTTCATAAACTACTTGAGAAACTTGAACATTTATGACTTTGTTTTGCTTTTCCAGAATGAATATGATGATTAACAATTTTTGAGCACTAACCATGCAGTCATTATTGCCAAAAACATTCCATTTAATTTACAACAACCCTGTGAGTATTGGAATCATTTTGCAGATGATGAAACAGGCTCAGAGAGGTTAACTAACTTATCCAAGATTGCAGAGCTAATGAACATCAGAACCCAAACTCAGAGCCTGGTCAGTCTGACCCCAAAGCAAGTGGTCTTAACCACTCAAACCTGTCTAAATGTCACCTACCTCTGGAAACCCTCAAGGCAAGTTCAATCTCTGGTCATATCACATGACTTAATTCAGAGTGAGATGGCTGAAGGCAGGCGGTAATCAGTATCATCAATATTTACCATTTTGAATGTCTACTGTTTTAATGACCCTGGATATTAGAGAAAGAAATAACAACAACAAAACATGTTTCTCATTTACAAGGGTTGCTTTCTAAGCTGTTACCAATACTAAAGTCTACCTATAATTTGTATTGTGTTGTTTCAAATGCCAAAAGCTTCTACAAAGTATAGGGAAGGCTGACGTGCTAAGATTGACCTTGATGCTGTTATATTGAGACAGAGATAATGTCAGCATTTGCTGTTCTCTTCCTGACAGAATTGATTTCACTGGATTTTTATTGGGAGCCCTTAAAATAGAACAGGGTATTTTGTTCAATAGAAAAAGTTAGGTATTTAATATTAAAGAAACCAGAAAGTGAGTGAGTGGTGTTAGGTATAGTGTATATGTTCTTCATTCATTAATTCAATAGATATTTGAGTCTCTACCATCTGTCAGCACTGTTTGAGGCACTAGGGATATAGTAGTGATCAAAAGAAACAAAAATCCCTGTTTGCAACTTACATTCTAGTGGGAAGAGACAGACAAAACGCAAAGTAAAACATAAGTTGGGGAGTAAGAAGTCTTATGTAGACAAGTAATGCAGGGAAGGGGATTAGTGACTGCTGGTATGTGTGTGCAATTTTAAATCCTTGCATATAGTGTGTTGTAGTTGTGGAAAGTCGTTGGCCCTTGGCCCCTCCTTTCTCTTTCTGAGCATACCACATAATGTCCTGGGTTTGTCACATCTTGGAGGTTCTGCTTTCTGCATACCCAGTGTGAAACTCCAGTAACCACTTGCCCTGATGTTCACTTCTAGTATCTTGCTGGCCCAAGCTGGCCTAGATCTAATCCAAACTTAAATCTAAAGCCTGAAGTAGAGTAATCAATCTTGAGAGTTTGGGGAGAATCAGAAGATACATGGGAAAAGAAATCAAAATAGGACCTCTTTAGGTAGGATTAGGTAGAATTATCTTTAACTTTTCAGCTCTGGCATAATCACTATGGAAGTAGAAAATAACTCAAGGCTTGGCAGGACCTAGAGGTAGCTGGAAGATGGTTCTGGGTAGGTTATAAAAAGTTACAGCAGAGGCAGAAAGAAGAGTGGAAAAATTTGTTGAATTTATGGATAAGGCAATGGTGATGCGAAGAGGTGGTGGTGGTTCGGGAATGGATGCTTTGGATCCAACAGCTACTTATGCCCAAGACAACTACCCCCGCTCCAACAAATCCAAAAGCCAATATTCTTCAATTGTGGCAAATGACATTTACCCAATCACATGTGAAATGCGAATAAAACCATGTTTGGAGAACTTTGTTTTGTATTGATCTTCCATACAGTTTAAGTAGAAGTGTGCTTGGAAAAGCAGCATCAAAACAGGCTCCTGTAAACCTGAGGTTTACAAAAGATGGCCAAGGCGTAGGCTGGACAAAAGCAGTGGAAGAAGAGGTCTCACTGGAAGTTCTTACGTTAGCTAGTAGAGCGGTAAGGGTGCACTTCAGGCTTGGCCAGAGACAGGAATATGCGGTGATGCCGCTGCTGCTGGTGGTAATGAAGTCACGGCCACCTCTCCTTGTGAAGTCAAAATCATTAAAAACCCTTCACGTCACCCACGGTTGAGGCCTCCCTTCTGCCAACGATCTGTGACCTCAGCCTGCGTTAAACACCGAAACCATCTCAAACACAGCGGCCAGAGATTCACCACCAGTCAGCCCGAGGCCTCCGCCCGGGGCCTGGTCTTCACACTAGGCGCCGGGCGGGGCTCGCCCGCGGACGCGGGCCGGCCCGCCCCCCACGCACGGCCTGCTGGGAGTTGTAGTTCACTCGGGGAGCGGCGCGAAGTCCCGCCTTCCTCCTACCGCGCTTCCTCCCCGCCCCGGATGAGTGCGCAGAAAAGGGACCGCTGGCCGGGACCCAGGGAGCGGTGGGACTACAATTCCCAGTGGACTTAACACCGGCGCACAGCCACAGGTAGCCTGCAGCGCGCTCTGCGCACGCGCACACGTGCCGGGCGGTGGCGGGATTCCGCCGCGTGCGCTTTCCCGCTTCGGCGCGCCCTAAGCTTGCTACGCCTGGGCCGCCTGTCCAGCCTCGCCGGCACGCCCTGCGCTCGCTCCCTCGCGGCTCGGCGCACCCCTCCTCCCTAGTTTCTCCTGGAGCGCAGGCCCCGCCCGTTTCCCGCCTCCAGGGCCTGGTTCGTTCCTGCCCCAGTACTCCCCTCTCTTCTGCGCCTCTGCTGCTTCTGCTGAAGGCAGAGGCTCCATGTTGTCCCCTCAGCGAGCGGTAGCGGCTGCCTCGAGAGGAGCAGGTGAGGCACCCAATTTTCCCTGACTCACTCCGTGGCCAACCCCGCCGCACTCCCTGCTATAGCTCCGAGGAGACCGCCCGCCATCGCCGCCGCCCTTCCTCGTCCCCGGGCTGCGACCGCGCGTCCCTTGCCGAGGTCCCTCGGCTCGCGAACTCCGGGCCAGGGGCTCCTCGCGGGGCGCCTTCAGCCTTCGGTTGGGAGCTGCCGCCCGCTGGGCTCGGGCCGAGCGCCCAGGAGAGGCCTCCGGCGCTCCTCTGGCTGCCCCCGCCCCGTGGCGCCCTCTGCGCCGCACTGGGTGGCCCCGGGGCCGGTGGTCCCCGGGGCGTCGTCCTGAGCTTCGCAAGGGCGAGCACCGGCGAGGCTGAGCCGGCCGCCGGGGGCTGCAGCACCCCTCCCGGCCTGGCCGCTGGGCACGCCCTCGGGCCGGGACCTGGGCGCCGAGTGGCCCTGGGCGTGTTAACGGGCCGGAGCGGGAGGGTAGATGCTTTATTGTCCAGCCTTTCTTAAAGTGCTGGGGGGCTGCGAAGTGTCCTTCGAGTTGGAGGTTTTACGTTTATTCTGACGACCTGGAGGCACTGACAAGAAGTATTAGGAAAGTTGGTTTTCAACCCACGCTTATTTCCATAGGGGAGATAAAAGAAGTGGCCTAATTGGTTTTTAGTAAGTTCTTTTAGTACGTTTGGTACAGTACGTTTTTCTTTTTCTTTTTTGAAGCCATAAAACATAGTGAAAGTGTTAAGTAAAAACCAAATAGGGAGGCACCTTGAGTTCACGGATATGGTTTAAGCTGTCATTTTACCTGGCTTCATTGTGTGCGCTGTTGAAATTACTTGGTCCTTCACTTGAGAAATCTAAAGGCAAAAAGGAAGAGAATAGTGTTTGAAAAATCTTTTTTTTTTTTTTTTCATATTTTAGTTGCATTTCTCTCTCTCTCTCTCTTTTTTTGAGATAGAATCTTGCTCTAGTTCCCCGGGCTAGAGTGCTGTGGCCAGCCTAGCTCACAGCAACCTCAAATTCCTGGGTTTAAGCCATCCTCCTGCCTCAGTCTACGCAGTAGCTGGGACTACAGGTGCACGCCGCTACACCCGGCTAATTTTTTCTATTATTATTATTTTTTTTAGTAGAGATGGGTTCTCGCTCTTGCTCGGGCTGGTCTTCAGCTTCTGAGCTCAAGGAATCCTTCCTCCTCTGCCTCCCAGAGTGCTAGGATTACAGGTGTGAGCCACCAGGCCTGGCCTGAAAAATCTTTAATAGGTGAATCTCAGTCTTCACATTTGAATATGAAGGAGTGGAATGTCTTATGAAAGGCAAAGAAAAACTAAAATGGTAAAAAACGTGATTTCACATTTTGGCTTACTCTTGGAAAAGCAGATTTAAGAAGCAAAACCTGTTAGGGTGGAAAGCTTAGTAGGTGCTCACCGCGTGGGTGGAGAAAGATTCTCACACAGAAATTAAGTTATCAAGGTAAAATTTATTTTATCCTTTAGAAGGACAGAAGAATGAGAGAGAAAGAGAAGGAGGGGACGGAGAGAGGAGAGCAGAGAGATAGCATGGCATCCCAAAGAAAGAGAGGTGGAAGATACCATTTTATATTTGGTGTTTTCCTGTATGGTTTAATATACCAGTAAGCCTAATAAGTTTTTTTTCTTGGGCTTCTAGCGTTTCCACTGTTAAAGCTACTTTGAGGTTAAAAAAAAAAAAAACAAATCCAGAATTTTGTTCTTGGAAATCCTGTCAAACTCTACAGATTTAAAACCTGTTTAAATAGAATCAAAGTTTGCTATAAAACAATGGCTTTCATTTAACCAAGAGTGATAGTATTTAGAAGATTTTAAAGGCAATGCAGGAAGCTATATGGGTATAAACTTTAGCCCTCAAAGTTTAGTTTTTCTGTTATTATAGTTTGACTGTTATCAGTAGCCATCTCGGGATGTAGCTACTTTCATTGATGTATTAATTATGATCTTAAAACATTTAAACTTTAGCAGTTTTAAAACTATGTTCATTTATCGAAGGTTACCAAGGTCATGTGAACTAAAAAGGCATTTGAGTTCTTAATAAAATTTGATGCAAGCTTACTTTTTCTTTAAGTCAATTAATAGAGCTCTTTTACATAATTTGGTAGTGAAACATCACATTCACATGACGTATATGGACACACAAACATACAGACATATAGAAGTAGACAATTTTAGGTGAAACAAGGCAGAAAGTTCAGAGCATACCAAGGAAAGGAAAAAGTTGTATGTAAAGTCCCAATTAAGCTTTTTCCAAAGTCAAAGAAAGGAAGCTGTAACATCTTTTCCCAGTGGAGGTAATTAATTGGGAAGCACTAAAGGGTGGGCAAAGACTATCTCCCAGAGTACAGAGAAGTTGTGGAATACGTAGCAGGTTTACATTTTACCTTTCACTCTGACAGTGCAGGTAGGAGAGGGAAACAGAGGCCTGAAAATTCAGGAAGAGCAGAGGACGTGGCTTTAGTGTTTAGTGCCAGAGAGTTGCTTAAGTCTTGGCCATCCTGTTGTGCCAAAGTTGAGTCTGTTCATGCTCATGGAATCTGACATGCCTGTCAGACTGAAGCAGTTTCAGAGGGTCCGAGGGTGTGGAGGACGCCCATTCAGGGTGGGGCAGCCAGATCCCGAATGCAGGTGTGATCCCCTCCCTGCTCTTTCAGTGCCCTTTGTCAGAAGGTGCAGGGACCCTGCTTCCTGAGGCATTTTTACTCCAGGGACCCACAGTCATAATGGAGACAGGGTTTAGTTCCCATAGCAAGGTGTGGCCTTGTGGTCTTGCCTGGGGCCTTTTTGAGTAACTGTCTGTGGAAAAACTCCTTTACAGAGTGGCAGCCACTATTTGAAAGTTGTCAGTCCCACTCCCTTTTTCCTTTCACCTCTCCCCATTCCATATTATCAAACCTTGAAGGACAGGTTTAAAGTTCTTCTTGTGGAGTCTGAGGCCCCTTTTCAAATTTTTGGAGTTTACGCCAGATGTTGGGGCTGTGAGATGTGAAATGAAGTACATTGCTAATATGGATTGTCCCTCCCTAGTGTCAAGATCTAGATTAGAAAAGAGGAGAATAACTTCAGACAGGAAAAGGGCTGAAATTTCATTCTGGCTTCTCCCATTTGGGTACCTGATTTACAATGCCTTGTGACCCTGTGGCCTCCTAGAAAGGGAGCTGGTGTACAGGGGAGGGAGTTCTGGAATGGCCAGCCAGAGCAGGTGTGGCCAGGTGAGAGAAATGAAGATGGAGAAGAAGGAGGAACAGAGGACCCAAAAGAGAAACATCTAGAAGGTGAGGGCAGTGAGAGAGATGCAGGAGTAAGAAGTAACATGAAGCAGGCAGAGCAAAGACCAGAAAGACTAGAGGGTTTAAAGAAAGCTTGAAAGTAGAGAACTTTAGACCCTTTGCTGGCTAGCAGCCATAGAAGTTCAAGTAACATCATGCAGAGAGTCATTCTCAGGCCAAATTTCAGGGTCATTTAATTTACTGAATGTTTGGGATGGGGTCAGTGAGTCCCAAAGTTCTCACCGAATGTTGCCTATGTTGGCAACTAGAAGAAAGAAAAGGATGTTTTAGAGCGGGTCATATGTGCCAAAAACCTGAGAGGGTGTCCCCAACTCAGATGACCGTTGAAGGTCTGATGAGACATCAAGCATCTCCAAAAATCTGAGTCAGACCAAAACAACAATCTGGCCAGCAGACAGGCGTCCCTGAACTCCAACTCAGATTGTGAACCTGAAGTCTTCCCCATAGCCAGGCGTCCCTGAGTCTGGGTGAAGACTTGATGGGGGCGGTCCCCAGCCCTCCGTGCCCTCCTCCCCCAAAGAGTGGTTTGGAAACATCTCTCCATGCCACCCTCCCAGTGGTAGACCCAGTGCTGGGTTTCCCTAGACCAAACAAGAAAGCTACCATTCTCCACCTCGTGCATAGTTTCCCAAATGATTCACCTAATTTTGAACAATTTGAGGAATGTCATAGGAATTGCTGAGGAGGGAGCAGTTTCAAGATTGAAGCACCTTCCTGTCCAAAGGTAGAAAAATGAGAGGATGAGACTGCCCTCGTGGTGGGGGGAGAAAAGTGACTTCTCCCCGTGTGGACACAGATGTGATTTTCTTTAGTCCCTGTGTGGGCTTCCAGATGTTAGGGAAAGGCTTATGTGCTCACAGCATGGATGGAGAAAGATTTCTCACACAGAGATTAAGATGTTAAAAGTTTATTTGATACTTTAGAAGGGCAAAAAGAGAGAAAGAGAAGGAAGCAGAGTAGGGGAAGAGAGCAGGGAGACAGCATGGCATCCGAAAGAAAGAGAAGGGAGATGCCAGCACCCAGGCCAGTGGCTTGCAGTTTTTATGGGGACAAAGAGAAAAATAGTAATTTTTGTGGAGTAATTATTAGGCAGTCGCCAGAGATCAAGTTGTCAGTCTTTCTTGTTTCTTCTGTTCCTGGAGACTTGGTTATCTCTGAGATGTAGTCAGGCCTATCACAGGGGATGTGATTTTTGCCCCTGAGATACGAAAAGAAGGCCTGGAGTTTACCCACTGCTGCCTGGTCCGGGAGCTTCTCTGGAACACCTTTAGGCTGTAGAAACAACTTGTAAAGGCTGTGAGCTGGTGAAGGTGAAGAGATTCTTTTGGGATGTTTGTGAAAACAGAGTCCCAGCAGGTTGCCTACCAGCAGAGCCGGTTCTCACAGTATTGATCCGTGGCTGTCATTAGAAAATTGGGAGATTCAAGGCTGCCCTATCAACCTGCTAAGTTCTAATCTATGTCCAGTATTTGGTGTTGCAAGATATGTACTGAAATTCAAATTAGTGATTTATTTCAGTTCCCACAGAAACTGCTTGTACTCTAGAAATTTCTGTTGCAGCTTTAACTCCTGTAAAGGAAACACTTGGTTGAAAAAGTGTTCATCTCTACATAAAATGAAGCATCACACTAGTCCAGCACGTTTTGTTTTATTAGCTACAGATTACCTAGTATTAATGAGATTAAGAAAA